GCACCCCAAATTTCACTCCCGTATATACAAACTGGTTTTACCATGCTGTCAAATAACATAGTGTGTTAATTTGAGTATTGGCATAAATATTGAATTGTTGTCTAATTGAAAAGTAGCTTTTTTGTGCTTTCAGAGTCAATGATTTAATGCAGGTTTTGAAGTTACTATTTGAGATAAAATTGATTCCTAAATATGGTAATTGATTGTCAATCTGTATCTTTTTATTATCAATATAGAAACTCTCTGAATTATCAATTTTTTTGTTCATAATCAGAATTTTTGTTTTCTTTACACTAACATTTAATTTCCAGCTTTTACAATAGTTTTGTAATTTAAAAAGGGAATTTTGTAGTCCAGATTTAGTCTTTGATAGGATGACTATATCATCAGCATACATAAGGCATGGAATTGGTTCCTTACCCAAAATTGGGCAATCAGCTGTATCTTTCATTAGAACACTTGGTAAATCATTCACAAATATGTTGAATAAGGTTGGTGATAGTGGACACCCTTGGCGAGTGCCTAACTTACTTTCAAAATAATTAGTGTACCCATCTTCCAATCTAACACATGATTTTAACTCCTTATACATACTGTTGATGACTTTGATGAACTTGTCACTCACCCCATTTCTGTACATTTTGTAAAACAGTCCATTCCTCCAAATTGTATCAAAAGCTTTTGCCAAATCCACAAAACACATATATATATATATAGTTTTCAGCATCATATTGGGAGATTTTGGATGGCAAGACATCAACTTTATTCACGATAAATCGCGAATACTGTATTTGGATAGATTACAAAAGATGAATGATACCAGGTGGACCAAAATAGTTTTCTCTAAACTACATGAATCATATCAGAACAAGGCTAAACTTGCTTGGAACTGGCCAAAATATATATCAACAATATCCTAATTCAAAATGGTATGGATCATGTTTATGGCCTAAAAAGACCACAGAATATTAGTTGGATTAAAAGTTTCAATAAAATTAGTGAAGAAAATGAAATAAAGCGTTTTGTTGAAACTATTCAAGACATGAAATCCCTAAAGCACTATGGTTGGATTAAACACAGCAATAAAAAGGAAAATTATATAAAGGATCCTCTTGATCATCATGGCATCTCACTCCTCTGTAAGGTGAGGTCAAACGCAATAGACTTGGAAGGGAATAAAACACGATGGGAAAATTATAAAGGCGACGGGGTATGTATGCTTTGTAATGATGGAAAGGAGGATGTTTATCACTTTTTATTTCTTTGCAAATCAACTAACCACTTGAGAAGTAAATTCTATTCAGCACTGACCAATACAATAGTGGAAAGTGGTGGAGAACCAACTATTGTACATAGATTTTTCTCAGGAGGAATTAATTTCAAATTTAATTTTCTCTTCAGTGATGTTTTATGGGCAATCAATAAGGATTTGGGAAATAATACATCAAACGAAATCTGAAACTTTCTCACCCACCTATGAAAATTCAGAAACGAGAAACTGAATGATTTACATGTATGAATTAATGCTTCTTATAGATTGTTTTTTTTTTCTTGTTGTTGTTGACTTGTATGTTAGCTTTTACGTCGTTTCAAAGGCTAAAAAAATATTATTATTATTATTACAGATAACACTTACAAAGGTGTAAAATTGAACATGTGGAAGGAAGTTTCACAGGGCAATGAGTTGCGATATTTTCTTCTGGGGGAAACTAGTCAGGGGTTGAATGCTGAATTGTGTAAAAAAATAGATAACATTTTTAAACAATTCTTCATTAATCAAAAAGAGCTGAAAAAATGTAATCAGTAAAACCAACTTCATGTAATTATTTGTGCCTTCAGTTTTCCTGCTCTTAATTTATTTTTTTTCTGTAAGCTCCTGAACACTTGATTTAAAAAGGCTGCAACAAACAAATAAATAAAAAAAAATAAAGGATGGATGGGCGGTATATCAGACTAATATAGTAGTTGTTAAAGTTTGCTACTAGGTTTATGTTTATATACATTATTATGACATTTCAGATGGCCAAAAGCTACATTCGAAAGGAGCAAACAAAATGTATTTGTTTCAAAAGTGTTATGTAGTTGTTGATTTGGACACAAGTCACAAATGTTTGGGAAATATACATGCATGTCTGAAAAAAATGTGAAAATTTGGAACTATATCCATTGAAATGCATGCATTATTTCATAACCAGTTAAACCGCGGCTCCGGGTGTATAAAAGGAAATATGGTCGCCAGTTTTCAGTATGCAAATGACACTAGTGTAGGTCATTCAAATAAAACACAATGACGATTTGAGGTTTCGTACTCCATGAATAGTGCTTTAAAAAATATTGCATGGGCCCTGTGTGTGTTACAAATCAGATAATAGTGTAATGCATGATGTTAGCTTACGTAATTAACACCTTCAATCGAAATGATAACAGCTGTGTACCAAGTACACAACTGGGCGGACCATGCAAATTATATTTCCCATGATGCACTGGTGAACAGCTACCATGTGACATCTTGGAAAGATTGCGATGCTCTATGAGGTTTACAGTTTCAGTCAAGCTAAAGGTAATTTTTTTCTTGCAGCCTCAAAACATCATTCTTCAAATGGAAACCTGACTTTGACAGTGCATCTGACGAATTCAGCAAAGCAGGTATGTGTTAATGAGATGAAACCAGAAACGATATGATTCAAATCAATTTTGATAATATTGATTGATATCAGTTAACATACGGTGCTTTAGGGAC